GTACGCGTACCGCACTTTGGGAAACACTGATATAAACGAACTTTTAGAATGTCCTTCCTTTCCTTAAAGCATTATATTATTTCATTTTATTTTTCCCAAAATCCAAATTTTTGTTTATAAATATATCTTACAAACGAATAAGAACATAAGTTAATCATAATGTAATGATTATATTGAATTATTCATTATTAATGCATAATTGTTTTAATTTTACTGCTAAAATGTCGAAAGCGAAGTTTTGGCGACATTGTCGTTTCCTTCCATCTCTTACATATATTTTTATAATTTCATTTGCTTGCTTTAGGGTTAATTTTGTTTACACATACATTTTCTCACAGCAAAGAGCGGTTATGAAAGATTTATTTGAGATTAATTAAAAGATTCGATAAATAGACAAATATTTTTAAAACTTTATTTGTACTTTAATAAAATCATCTAATCTTTTTCAATTGAAATCGTCCGATCTTACTTTAATTAATATTTGAGAACCGCGGGGGCTCAGGGGATAGAGGGTTCACCTTCCAACTAGGTGAACCTGGTTCGAATTCTTTTGAAGCCGATTTTATATGAAACATTAGGTGTCGTATTATCCGAAAATAGTTATATATATATATGAGCCGCTCAGAAGCCAATGCGGTTAAGTCCATTTTTTGATATTTTCTGATTTTTGGAAATTTTGATGAAATAAATACTAATCTTCTTAGTTATTAAAGGATTTACTCGTTGGTTACTTTTTTCTTGGTTAGACAGCCTTTTTTTAATAGCTTCTGAATATATTGTATAATAATTTCAGAAGCCATTGTGAATAAGCCCACCTTTTATCAATATTTTTTTACATAAACTTTGAAATAAAAATTAAATCTTTCTTCTTCTTTCGATATTTGTTGGTAACACTGAAAAACAAGAAATTCATAGTAACATCAGGGTTGCCAGACGTAGTATTTTTAATACTACGGTAATATTTTTTCACCAAAAAAAGGGGTATGGTATTTTTCGTAGTATTTTTTTAAAATGTGGTATTTTTTATTTATTTCCTTTTATTTTCATTTCCTAAAACAAAGAAAAGTGCCACTCTAGTTTTGAAGTAAAAAACAATTTTTGAAATAATCCAACAGTTTATTTTCTATTAGTCACTGTATCTAGTGATGATTGAGAAAAATAAAAGTTCGTTTATACTAGTAGACATAAATTTCTTATCTTTTTCAGCTGCCAAAAGGTATAAGTCCTAAAATTTTTAAGATGCTGTCATTATTTCAATAAATACTTACGTTTTTATTTACACATCCTGTACATATCTTG